GACAACCTCGATGACGGATCTCACGATCAGCATCCTGCCGCCAGCTCTGCTTCCCTGCGCTCTGCATGTCCCTCCCTGTAACCCCCCTGCCCGCCACACACCCTCACACTGATCCCATTCATTCCCCTCATTGCGATTTTAAAGATAATATCTTGCTCTCAAATGAATTCCGCATAGACACATCATCCTTGAACATTTGCAAGAAAAACAAAGTATTCCTAGGGAATAGTTGATCTTGTCCCCCTAGGATGAATTCCTTCATGTTGTCTGCAGTTTTGCAACACATATTTCCTCCTGGCTATCTTTCTAGACCTTGTTAGGAGTACAGGGAGGCGCATGTCCTCCCAGGGTAACCTGAAAGTCCCTGGGTTTGCTTTGCTTGTGGGATTTCAGTTAGAAATGCCAGTGGTTGCTTTCAGCGCCACATCTACTGTGCTCTCTCCAGTGTGTCATTAGGAGTTCTGTGTAGTGCAGGAGTAGCAGTGCGGCTGCTTCTCTGGTCTCCCTTGTAGGAGGAGTCAGAGTCAGAGCGCCATCCAGATGACAAAGACGGGGGTGCCTGCTCTTCCCTCACACAGCCCTGTGCTCACTGCCTGCATTGTCGTTCAGCTCTTCTGTGTTGGTCTTGTCTTAGCCTGTGCCTGCTAGAGAGTAGCTACCAGAGCGACTGAGACCTGGGAGCTGAATGACTGTTTCTTGCACTAAATTTGATTATGGAGAGCTCTTAACAGCACGTGGCCAGCCTTTCCTTGTTGGCTTACATTCCAGGGGTTCAATATTGCTGACCCGTGGTGTTCTGGTCATATTCCTTTCCTTGCTGTGCATAAGCCCTTGGATTTAATTTACTCCCATGGCTGTCAATGCCAAGTCCAAGGATAAGGATGATTTGTAAATGATCTTTCATGCAATCCGCTCCCCCAAGCTTCATACCCACCTTACTTTGCTGTCCTTCAGACACCACAGAACAAAATTAAACTTGTCCATCGCTTGCTTCCCCCTTGATAGAGAGCCACAGCCCCAGCTATCCAGGGCCAGCTCTCTTCATCTCCTTTTTCTTTCACTACCTCATTGTGCAATAGATTCTTAAAAAAAAAAAAAAAAAAAAAAAAAAAAAAAAAAAGATTTATTTATTTATTTATTTGAAAGGCAGAGTTTCAGAGGCAGAGAGAGAGAGACAGGTCTTCCATCTGCTGGTTTACTCCCCAGATGGCAGCAACAGCTGGAGCTGCACTGATCCAAAGCCAGGAGCCAGGATCTTCTCCTGGGTCTCCCACACGGGTGCAGGGGCCCAAGGATTTGGGCCATCTTCTAAGGCTATCACAGCAGAGAGCTGGATCAGAAGAAGAGCAGCCAGGACTTGAACCGGTGCCTGTATGGGATGCTGGCACTGTGGGTGGCAGCTTTACCCACCACGCCTCAGCGCCGGCCCCTGTGCAGTAGATTCTTACTGAGCACTGCAAATTGCAATAGCAAACAAAGAGGAAGAGATCATAAGGGATGTGGCTTCCATCTGGAAAACATTGCAATTAATTACACAAAATTTAAGGAATACATATGAACAGCCCACACGATAACAGTCAGTTGCCAATATCTAGTCTTTTATAAATGCTGCCTCCAGCAGGCACCTAGATTTTCGGTGAACTTTGGATGTGTTCACATGCATTCCAAGGGCAGGGTTTGCTTCCCAGAGTGGCCTCTTATCTTTCATATCCTCCCTTCTACTGTATTATGGGATGGTAGGGGTACATCATTATCGCACCTCCACCTGCAGTCTGCTGTTTGCCTGAGTTCTTCATTAGTCACCACGTTCGTGCAGTTCTATGTCCTTAGTGTCTCTTGCGTGTATCTGCTTTTGGGCATTTTTCATCCCCCGTGTCTGCCCGAGTTCTTTCTCTGTCTTCATTGTGGACTCCTGCAGGAATCCCTAGTCTGCACTCTTCCCAGAGGAGATTTCTGAAACCCAGTCAAACTTCGTAACTTACCTGTTGAAGTCATTCAGTGGTTCCTCATTATGTTCAGGATAAAACCCAGACTCCTTAATTTACTAACTAGGCCCTTTGTTATCTCGCTCCTACCTAAGCTTCCAGTCTCTATTTCACCACCTGCCCCTCTTCTCACCACCCCAACAACTGTGTAATAAGGAATGTGACCTCCAGAGTCAAACGATTGGGTTCCAATCGTGACTGCCACTTACAAGCTGTATAACCTCAAGAACATCACCTAAGTCTCAGTGCCTCCTTTTTCCTGTTGTAAGAGGTGAGAAACAATAGTTTCTATTTCATATAGATTCAGTGGGTCGTTATATATCAAATGCTTGCAATAGGCCTGACCAATAGTAAATAACTAATACTCGTGTGTGTGTCTGGTCCAGACCTGGCTACTGGGGCCACTTGGGTTATGCCCTGGGATACATTTCTCTCTCACTCTCTCTCTCCTCCTCTGTCACTCTGCCTCTCAAATAAATAAATAAATCTTTAAAACAAAAAGGAGAAAAGAATGCATTTAATACTGAATACTCAGAGATGTATGACTCATATAATAGAAGAACTCATTAGCATTCAACTTTTTGTAGACAGATGCCTCCCTGTTTTATCCGTGCTCACCAGTTTATTGGAGAAGATAACAGGATTCATACATATGAAACAGAGGGAAAATTAAGGGAGGATGCTTAAATGTGTTGGTGTTTGGGAGTGTGATTTGTCATATAGAAAAGCCTCCCACGTCCACCCCACCAACTGTGTGGCTCACACACGCCTTATACACTACCTGAGATTCTCTTTATTAGCTAAGAGATACTCTTACTAGGGCTTTGAACCCTTGGCTCCAGCAGCTACCTGAGAGGGTGAATGTCTTTAGCACTAATGCCCATAGGGAAGGCATGTGGACAGCCAAGTCGGCTGGAGTCTGGGGTCTCAAATGAGGTCTTGGAAGGTAAATCCAAGGGGAGCACCTTTAGCTGCTGGCCTGACACAGGCTTCAGTAAACAGAGGCCATCTCTTGTGTAATTAAAGTGGACTCTGGACCGGCACCACGGCTCACTAGGCTAATTGCCTGCGGCACCGGCACCCCGGGTTCTAGTCCTGGTTGGGGTGCCGGATTCTGTCCCGGTTGCTCCTCTTCCAGTCCAGCTCTCTGCTGTGGCCTGGGAAGGCAGTGGAGGATGGCCCAAGTGCTTGGGCCCTGCACCCGCATGGGAGACCAGGAGGAAGCACCTGGCTCCTGACTTTGGATCGGTGCAGCATGCCGGCCATAGCGGCCATTTGGGGGGTGAGCCAACAGAACGAAGACCTTCCTGTCTCTCTCTGTGTAACTCTGCCTGTCAAAAAAAAAAAAAAAAAAAAGTGGACTCTGACACTGATGAGGAAAGAGGCTTTATTTAAAGATAGATTTATTTATTTATTTAATGACAGAGACAGATAGACAGAGATCTTCCATCCACTATTTCACTCTCCAAATGGCTGCAGCAGCCAGGGCGGGGCCAGCACGAAGCCAGGAGCCAGGAGCTTCATCTGGGTCTCCCACATGGGTGCAGGGACCCAAGGACTTGGACTATCTTCTGCTTTCCCAGGCACATTACTGCAGAGCTGTATTGGAAGCAGAGCAGTCAGGACTGGACCTGGCACCAGTATGGGATGCTGGTGCTGCATGTGACGGCGGCTTTACCCACTGTCCCTCAGCGCTGGCCCCAAGAGGCTTTGACTGGTAGTTCTTTCAGCATCTTTCTTAAATACCCTTCCTAAAATGTCAACTTTTGTAGCTCTCAGTAGCACAGATCCTATACCTCCCTGTGATGGAGAGAGGTGCCTGGGGTTAAAATGTAGGTGGAGATTCTAAAGCCCAAAGAGATGAGTGATTCTTAAATAGTGACCAAGCTCGAGATGGGGTAGGAGCAACTGGAATGTGCCAGTGGCCACACATATCCCTCGGTGCAGTCCTGGTTGCCACTGTGGGAAGTAAGAGGTACAACTGGTGGCAGTGTGGTATACATACAAGACATAACGGAGACCAGGGAGATAACTGAGCTGTGATCCAGGGTGAGTACCTTAGTGCAGAGGCAGTTAGGGTCTGAGGCATCAAAGGATGGACTTTTCCTACCACACCCAGCTTCTCCCACTTAAAATCTCATTCAGTACCTGAAGACCTCCATATGACAGGGTGCTTTCTGGTATGCAAGGTGCTTTTCTTTAAGAGACTTTATGGGTATTATGACAAACTCTACTATGAAGAAGAACAATTGAGAATAACTGGGAGTGCTTGTCAAAGTGACGTGCAAGTAGCTATTACTATGCACAAATATTGAGCAGTCCAATCTTACTGGAATGATTTCATAGAACTGAGGAATAATGTCTGAAAGAGTTAGGAAACCTTTAATTAAGCCACGACATTCAGAGTTGACTCTCAGTGTTTCTAATTTTCTCAGGAATAAGATGGAATCATTCTATTTAATTTTGGGAGGAAGGAACTGTATGTTTTACAGGAAGCTTGAGAGTTGATTTTTTTTTTTTTTTTTGACAGGCAGAGTGGACAGTGAGAGAGAGAGACAGAGAGAAAGGTCTTCCTTTTTGCCATTGGTTCACCCTCCAATGGCTGCCGCGGCCGGCGCACTGCACCATGCTGATCTGAAGGCAGGAGCCAGGTACTTCTCCTGGTCTCCCATGGGGTGCAGGGCCCAAGTACTTGGGCCATCCTCCACTGCACTCCCGGGCCACAGCAGAGAGCTGGCCTGGAAGAGGGGCAACCGGGACAGAATCCGGTGCCCTAACCGGGACTAGAACCTAGTGTGCTGGCGGCACCGCAAAGCGGAGGATTAGCCTAGTGAGCCACGGTGCCAGCCCCGAGAATTGATTTCTAAACTGCCCTTACAGTGCTGGGCACGCTCCATATGTTAGCAGTTCTTCTCTGGGTAAGCTGTGCATAGGCCAAGAGGCCAACCCGGGCTGTGGCCAGCTTGATGTTTTTGCTTCGTAAAATGTTATTAGGATTTGTTTTCTTCCTAACAGGGCCTGGCTTCCCTTCAGAGACTCGCACGCAGTGCTTTGTCACGTGACGGACGTTGCTGCTTCATTTCACTCCTGCTACTTTGGATTTACATTGCACACAGGGAAAGGCACGGGACACAACTGTCGCCCTCGGAGGGTGGTGATGGCCATGATTCACAAAGATGAGGAGCTTCCCTGCAATCTCCAGCTGGCTCAGGTTCGTAGCTTTCAGCTGTTACTGCAATGCAAATAATAGGCGGCATCTTGGCAGAGCGCACATTTAGTAAACCCAACTAGCCCCAATCCCTATCACTTAAAATCTGGGAAGATACGATATAAAATGAGAGTTTATTTTTACACTAGGTGGGGGAAAAAAGTGTTTGAAAATAGTTGTACAGGATAAGCAAAAATTCTATCAACATATTTTTTGTATTTTCTATTGCTTGAATATATATTTAAATGATAGTTTTATGATACAAAGTTTGCAGTACTTGAAAAGAACATGAAGTACTGTGTATTAAAAAGATTTTTAAAGTTATGTATCTTATAATTAAATAATTTTTGTAAGTAAAGTCTTAAATGTCCTGTGCAACTTGTGTTTTCACGTTAGAATTACATTGTGAAATATGTCTTTGAAAATTTTTTTAAGATTTATTTATTTATTTGGGAAGCAGAGTTACAGAGAGAGGAGAGACAGAAAAAGAGGTATCTTCCATCTGCTGGCTTGCTCCTCAAATGGCTGCAATGGCTGGAGCTGTACCGATCCAAAGCCAGGAGCTTCTTCTGGGTCTCCCACAGGGTGCAGGAGTCCAAGAACTTGGGCTATCTTCCACTGCTTTCCCAGGCCATAGCAAAGAGCTAGATTGGAAGTGGAGCAGCTGGAATGTGAATTGGCACCCATATAGTATGCTAGCGCCAAAGTTTAGCTTATTACACCACAGCATCAACCCCTGTCTTTGAAATTTTAAATGGTTTATATTATCTGTGTTCTTCATATACCATGTCTTATTATGAAAGAATAACTTATAATATTTATAGCTCTTTAGTTATAAAAGTGCGACTGTTAAATGCCTCATTGCATATATTAATAAAGCAGGCTTCTATTGGGGCAGGAAGTCAGAAAACACAAAACAAAGGTGGGACGTGTGAACTCTGCTTCCACAAAAGTGCCTGTAAGCACACGTGAAGCCTTGTGATTTATGACCAGAGAGTTGAGGACCAGCTTGTCTGCAGTAAAGAATTGTCTTGCAGAAGAAGCTAAAGAAGCAGCTCATTGATTCATTTGTTCTGTAATTAGTTATCGAGCGATGCTCTGTGTTCAGTACTCTCTGAAGCGCTAGGACATACACAGACACTTCTTGACTTGCAATGCAGTTATGTCCCAGTAAGCTCATTGTCAATTGAAAACATTCTAAGTCAAAAATGCACTGAGATGCCAGTGTTGTGGCATAGGGGATTAAGCTGCCACCTGGGGCACCGGCAGTGAACCAGCAGATGGAAGATCTCTCTCTCCCTCCCTCTGTGTGTGTGTCTGTGTGTGTGTGTGTGTGTATCTCCCTCTCTCTGTGTAACTCTTTCAAATAAATGAATAAATCTTGTTTTTAAAGATTTATTTATTTACTTGAAAGTCAGAGTTAGAGAGAGGAGAGGCAGGGAGAGAGAGGTATTCCATCCTCTGGTTCACTCCCCAGATGGCTGCAATGGCTGGAGCTTGGCTGATCCAAAGCCGGGAGCCAGGAGCTTGTTCCAGGTCTCCCACATGGGTGCAGGGGCCCAAGGACTTGGGCATCTTCTACTGCTTTCCCAGGCCATAGCAGAGAGCTGGTGGAGTAGAGTAGAAGTGGAGCAGCCGGGACTCCAACCAGCACCCGTATGGGATGCCAGCACTGTGGGCAGCAGCTTTACCCGCTACTCCACAGTGCCGGCCCCAATAAATCCTTTTTAAAAATACACTGAATGCACCTAACGTACCACAGATGCCAGCTCAGCAACACAGGACACTGTAGGGCCACTGCTTCCCCTGGTGACCCCGGACTGACCGGAAGCTACATTCAGTGCCCCTTCCCAGTGTCAGGAGAGAGGAGCAGACCACATACTGGTAGCCTGGGAAAAGATCAAAATTCAAAGCATGGTTTCCACTGAGTGCACATCACTTTTGCACATCAAAAAGTTGGAAAATCTTAAACCTCCCTAAGAGAGAGCTATCTGGGTATATGAAAGAAGATCAAATCCAGCCCCTACCTTCCAACAGCTTATAATCTAGTTGGAAATATATACACTGGAGGGTTCAAGACAGTATCGGGGGAAAGGCCGTTAAGAGTGATAGAGATAGGCCGGCGTCGCGGCTCACTAGGCTAATCCTCCGCCTAGCGGCGCCGGCACACCGAGTTCTAGTCCCGGTCGGGGCGCCGGATTCTGTCCCGGTTGCCCCTCTTCCAGGCCAGCTCTCTGCTGTGGCCAGGGAGTGCAGTGGAGGATGGCCCAGGTGCTTGGGCCCTGCACCCCATGGGAGACCAGGAAAAGCACCTGGCTCCTGGCTCCTGCCATCGGATCAGCGCGGTGCGCCGGCCGCAGCGCGCCGGCCACGGCGGCCATTGGAGGGTGAACCAACGGCAAAGGAAGACCTTTCTCTCTGTCTCTCTCTCTCACTGTCCACTCTGCCTGTCAAAAAAAAAAAAAAAAAAAGAGTGATAGAGATAAGAGGCTTGCAGTCTGCAGAAATACTGGGGGAGGTCTTTTTTTCTGCAGTTATCCAGGACACTGTTATGGAGGGGGAAGCAGCTGTGTTAGACTTTGAAGACCAGCCCAGAGTTTGGAAGCAAACGGTGGCGGGAGAACATTTCAGTGAGAGACAGCGAGGACCTGAGGAAGGAGCTGCACACGAGACCCACTCGGGAAAAAGTGAGTATGTTCTTCTTCGGCTGAAGCTGAGGGTTTGACTGATGGCAGTCAGCAGATGGGATGGTAAACTGGGGCTTCTGCACGGAGGGTTTTGGTGGCAGACCAGGGAATGCCAGCTTTATCCTGTCGGCAGTGGAGGTCCCTGCAAGGATTTTTACCACGGAGGGGATATTATCAAGGAGATTTTAGAGGAAAGTTAATGAACATTGGCATTCAAATCTGCTTCTCTCGGACTCATGGGGGAAAATCACTATAGCCCGCCAGAGAGGAATGACGCAAATGCCGTGTGATCTATGCCGTCGCCTCTGACTACAGGGCATGCTCTGTCTCCACAAGTGGCTGTTAATGCAAAGGGAGTGATGCTGATGCCTGAGTTATGGCTATGTTAGAGGGACAGATGCAGGGATGAGGGCAAGGCCAGGGAGACGGAGTCCAGCTAGAAGCTGTAATAATTGCCCAGATACTAGGTTGTGGCTGCACAAGCAAAAAGCTGGAAAGATGGCAGCACTGCCACAACCACATCTCCCTGCAGGCTCGCGAGGGCTGTAAGATGGCATTGCCAGCCAGCCAGTGTAATCCTCCTGCCAGAGCGCTCCGACAGGAGGCCTTCCATCCACTGTGGTGCAACACTGGGAATTGCGGTGGCCACAGTGCTTCTCTGAGGTGCACACTGTGGTCATGAAGAACCATTCAGGTCTGTAATAATAAAAGTCCTTTGGCTGCCAGCAGCAGATTGAACTCTTACGAAGGCAAGAAAGAGGGATTTGTTGGCAGCATAGTGCGTAGTGGACAGAATATAAAGAATTGCTAAAACCTAACCCCGGAGGAGCTGATGCTTCTTCTAAGTGCAATTTAAATGACCAGAGAATATTTTCAAATGTCTGCTTCTGAGCCGAGTTCTATGATGAAATTTTCAGTTTCTCAGGCATTCGTTTTAAGATACGTGATTTTTACATCCAAGTAGGGGCTGCCTGGAACTTTCCTTTTTAATCATTTATCATTTCCCATCACACTGGAAATGAACATAGTGTGTTAAACTCTTTCATACAATTCTAGATTCTTTGAGCGAGAGTTTTTAACCTTCTTAACTTTATTATTTTGGATTTCAACTTAATACAGAGGTTCAAGCAGATTGTAGTTGTAGTTAGAACTTGTCTAAACTAATTGATTAAGGTATAATAAAATATATGAACAATTGATTTTGGGAGATATAGATCTGGTTTCGAGCCCTAACAATAGATAAAATTAATAATTATATGGAATTATATATTTTACCCCCTTTTCCATTCTCTTTTTATCTCTATTAAATCAGTGCCCTTAAATCTTTGTCTTCTTTTGCTACTCCCCTTCTTTTGCTTCCTTTGCACTAATATATATGAAGCACATGACAACCACTCACTATATATTTAATTCTCCTTTGCTTTCCTTTTCTCTTTTCTAGTTCTTCTTTCCTTCCTGTTGTCATTTTATCTTAATGCATATTTTTTAAAAGAACTTCCCTGGGGGCCAGTGTTGTGATGTGGCATGTTAAGCCACTTTTAGCAATGCTGCGTGCCAGTTGAAGTCCTGGCTGCTCCACTTCCAATCCAGCTCCCTGCTAATTTGCCTGAGAAGGCAGCAGAAGATGGCCCAAGTCCTTGGACCTCTTCTGCCAATGTGGGAGACCTAGATGGAGTTTGTTCATCCAGGCTTCTGCCTGGCCCAGCTTCAGCCATTGTGGCCATCTGGAGAGTTAAGCAGCAGATGTCCCACTCTGCCTCTCCATCTAGAGTACTCGGGATGTAGGCTGATGCTTCCATATCCGGGAATGTTTCCAAGCAGAAACAAGGAAAGGGGACTGGCAGGCCACACACTGGCTCATAAAGCTGTGCAGCTTCTCTGATCATGTTTAATACTCAACAAGCCACATGGCTTTGCCCAAGCTCAAGTCGGTGAAGCACTATCCTGGTCACACCCAGAAGAGAAAAGGCAAACCTTTGTGGTGACCCTGCAAGTCTCCTTAGCAGGAATTGCTAATGTGCTTTCCTTTGTTCCTTCCTCAGGGGGAACACGCCCACTCACCTCTCCAGTTAATTTCTCATCACTTTCTCTCCTCTTTTCTGCCCTCTGAGAAATCAAGGCCAGAAATAAAAGGAAGCAAAAACCAAAACACTGGGTGTAAGACGTACTTCAGAATTAGAGAGGACTTTTGTGGTGGGAAAGTCAAAGCCCAAGAAGCTTAAGGTCAGGGAAGCTACCAACTCTGAGAGTTGCAAAGGATAAGGAGTTGCCCACATAATAACAGGAAGCAGAACCTCAGAGGCTGAGTCAAGG